GGAACCAGGTCTCTTTTGTATTTTGTCTCATTGGCATGGCATGGCATTTTTTTTTTATGTGGTTTATCTTTATTTTCATCTTTTGTAACCATTAACTTTTTCTAATTATTTTAATATTGTTCTCATCATATTATATATATATATATATATATATATTTCTTTAAAAATTTTCACCTCATCTTTCATTCAACTTCTAAGCTAATAGCCATGTCCACTGCTTAATATGATTCTATTTTTCAATTACATAATATGTTGAGTGCTAAGTGTTTTCTTTCTTTCTTTTTTTTTTTTTTGAGAGTTTTTTTTTTTTTTTTTTTTTGCTACAGGGTGCATGCGCTCTCCAGACAGACAGAGAGAGACATAAAGACAGAAAGCGAGAAATCACCCCCCCAGGGGGGATGGTCACGCCGCAATCCCTTCTCCTCCATTCTCCTCTCAGGATCTTGGGCATGCACGCACATGCACCCGGTGTGAGTTTTAAGCCACCAGGTCCAGGACGTGAACCGCGGTCGACTATGTGGGAGTCCAGCGACATAGCCATTAGGCTAACTGCTGGTTCCCAGTACTAAGTGTTTTCTTAATGTTTGATTATATTTTTCTTATATTTAATCACAGGACATTTTACAATGTACAAAATGATTTTTTTCCCAGCATGAATATAGTGAATATCAACAAAGTAAAAGATATTGGGATCAGCAGTTAGCATAATGGCTAGTTAGCATAATGGCTATGTCGCTGAACTCCCATGTAGCCAACCGCAGTTCAAGTCCTGGACCGAATGACTTACACTCACACTGGGCACGTGTGCATGCATGCCGAAGATCCCCAAAGGAGCATGGAGGAGAAGGGATTGCAGCATGGCCATCCCCCCTGGGGGATATTTCTCACATCCTATCTCTCTGTCTCTCTCTGTCTTTCTGGTGAATACATGTGCACTATAGCAAAAAGCTCTCCAAAAAAATAAAGAGAGAGAGAGAGAAAAGCAAAGTCAAAGATATTATAACATACTTTATCATCCACAGATAACTTTTCATTTTTGTATCTGTTAAATGTTTTATATCCCCTGATTACTTTTCTCCTACCTCCTCCTAAACTGTCTCTAGTTTCTACAGTTGCCCTTCCTGCTATTATACCTTCTAGCCCCTCATTTTCTGCCATGGAGTGAAGACATTTGGTATATATTGAACAGGGACACACAATGTCTCTCTCTCACAGTCTGACTTACTTCGCTCAACATTAAATCTTCCATATTTGTCCATTTTGTATCAAGTGTTAATTCTCAATTTTATGGCTAAGCAGTAGTCCGTATTATATATATATGCCATAGTTTATCAACCTGCAGAAAAAATTAAAATAGATCCTTATCTCTCTAAGTAACAAAAATGAACTCAAAATGGATCAGAGATCTAAATGTAAAAGCTTTAACTATAAAACTACTGGTAGAAAACAGGAGAAATTCTTGGAGACATTGGAGTAGCAAAGACTTCTTAAATAAGACCCCCAAAGCACAGGCAATAATACTGAAAATAGGCAAGTAGAATGACATCAGTCAAAAAATGGTCTACAAGGTAAATTAATAGTAATAATAATAATAATAATTACAGTGAAGAGATAACCAACAAAGTGAGAGAATGCATTCACAAACTATGACTCAGATAAAAGACTGATCACCAGACTATACAGGGAACTCAAGTTCTGAACTGCCAAGTAGCATATGATAAAATGCTCAACATCTCTTATCATAAGGGAAATGTAAATTAAAACACAATGAGATAACACTTAACCCCAGTCAGAATGGCTAAGATTAGAAAAAGAAGAATGATAAAAGATGGCAAGGCTACAGTGCAAAGGGAATCCTCCTACACTGTTGGTGACAATGTAAATTAATGCAGACATTACAAGACAACACTATGGAGGTTTCTCAAAAACCTACAAATAAAACCACCATAGTCTATGGAATACTACTCAGCCATAAAAACCAACAGAACCCTGGCTTTTGACAGAAAGTGGAAGAATATGGAAGATGTACTGCTGAGTGAGGCAAGCCAGGCTATGAAGGAGAGACATTGTATGTCCCCACTTAACATACATCGTATGTCTGCATTCTATGACTGAAACTGATTGACTGACGGTTGAACAAACACAAGAGAGATGGGTGTGAATGTCAGACAAGGTATATGTGAAGAAGTGGGGTCTAATGAAGGACATCTGGAGAAGGGATACAGAGGTAGAGCATTGATGGGATGGGGAGGTGTGGTGTTATCTGTTAAAGATATTTTGATCAATGGGTCTGGGGAGAAATGTGCACATATCGAAATAGTCTCATTGTAAGTCAAACAATATGATTGAAAGTATATACAAAAAACAAATAATAAATAATGAGAAAAAAAAAAAGAAGTCATCAGTTCCACTCTTAGGTCTTCATCTAAAGGATAGAAAAACACTCAGTTGAAAAAACACTTGCACATCTATGTTTATTGCAGCATTACTCACAACTGCTAAGACATGATGGAATTAACCCAAATATTCAAAGAGACAAGTGAATTGATTGTATATTTTATAGTCTGCTGTTTCTTTTGTTGTTGCAATGAAAATCTCAATGTATAGACTTACATTTTATTTTATTTTACTTTTTAATTTTAATATCTATACATTTATTTCTTTTTAATTTCATTTGGACACTGTACACCTTTACAGTGCACTACATTGTTTTTCCCAGCATGAATAAAGTATATATTAATTAATTAATTAAATTTAGCAGAGGAATTAAGTAAATTGCCATGGAACTAAGCATTTATTTCAAATTCTGGGTTGTATAATAGTTACATGATTATATATAAGTTACTTAAATTCCAAATCTTGCCTTACTATGAAATGTGAACTAGCTGAAGGATCAAGTGTAGTTCCCAGAGAACTATAAGTGGTCAAAAAATGTTAGATGTCACTGTTAATAGTAATATTACCTTATGTTTCCTAGTGTCTGTGTTTCTTAAATCATGGAATTGAGAGGTGCTTCTTCCTATAAATGATTTAAGGAGCTAGTTTTTATTACTATTAGTGTCTTGTATCTATAAGTTATATATAAAAGATATTTACCTAATTTTGTTAATTTTTGAATATTTCACATTGTATATTATTGCTTATTCAACTGCTAAGAAAAGACCATTTTTTACTTTAAAAATGCAACTTATCCCAACATAATATTTAATCTTAATATAAAATGTAAATGTAGTCTGTGTGCTCTTTTCCTGACATTTGTCAAATTACATGGTCCATAGACCAACTTAACCATTTATGATATATTTTGTATACTTACTTTCCCAATTATAGTTTTATTAAATATTTTTGTTGAAAATATCAGTAAATAAAAATCTGAGAGCATATGTGCTTTTTGTTTAATGAGTCAATATATATTTTTATTTAATATTGTAACCTTAACTTGTTATGTTACATGAACTATAAAAACTAGGCTTATGAGATTATTTGTCTTCTCTCCCACTGTGGAGTCTCATTTATACATTTTTGTCAATTCAATGTAACCAATGTGAGATAGACAATATCCTGAATTTGATCAGAGAGAAAAAAATAAAAGTAAATGCTTTCAGATTTCCTCTCAAACTCTACTTTCATTATTTTAGAGTTATATTGCTCTCTGATGAAGATATTTCATTAGTTTAGAGTTATATTGCTCTCTGATGAAGATAAAGAGTGAATGCTCTGACTATGCAGACACCTGGCCATGGCAGACATTTTGATGTCTCCTTATAGAAGAATTTTAGTGTATCTATTCATCTTCCCATTTCCTGCAGTTACCTCATTCATATACACTCTATTCCATATCACAGCATTGTCCCAGTATCCTCACCTGTAAAAAGGAGATGCTAAGCAGTAATTATTTATTATTTTATTGTATTAACACTTACAAGGTTATAAAAGGGACCAGCAGAGGCCATGATGCATGGTCAGAGCACTGGACTTTCACATGGCCTGCTACAGTTCAAGGCTTAGACATGGTGTTTTGTCTTCTCACTTTCTCTCTCTCTCTCTCTCTTGCTCTCTTTCTCTTTCTGGTGAGTGTGTGTGTCCTATAGCAAACTTAACAATAATGATAAATTTAAATAAATAACATAAAATAAATAATTATTAAAAAGAAAGAAATCTTATAAAAACTTAACTGGCTGGTGGTGAGGTGGCTAAGGCCTGAATCCTCTTTACCTGGTAGCTGAAAAAACACACTGGGCACATATGTGTGCATGCCAAAAATCCTGAGAAGAGAAAGGAGAATGGAAGAGAAGGAATTGCAGCATGACCATTACCCCTGTGAATTGATTTTTTGCTTTTCCTCATTCCCCTTCTCTTTTTTGGGAGATTTTTTGCTATAGGGTGCTTGCACGCGCCAGAAAGACAGAGAGAGAGAGAGAGAGAGACAGAGAGATAGAAGGCGAGAAATCACCCCCCAGGGGGAATTGCCATACCGCAATCCCTTCTCCTCCATTCTCCTCTCGGGATCTTGGGCATGCATGCACACGCGTCCTGCATGAGTTTAAGTCACCAGGTCCAGGACTCGAACCATGGTTGGCTACATGGGAGTTCAATGACATAGCCATTGTGCTAACTACTGGTCCCACTCCCTGTCTCTTTATAGGGAGTGCACTGTGCTCTAAGACAATATCCAAAAAAAAAAACAAAAAAGGTTATGAAAGCTATCTTGTTTATAGTATGTATTCTACCAACACTTGCTATTATTCCTATGGTAGACACTATTTATCAACTTCATGTGATTTTTCATGTAAATGCAATTTTATTTATTCTATATTATTGACATTTGTGATATGTTTTCATTAATTTTTTATTATTATTTTTTGGATTTTTTCTGACTAATAATAATCTAAAAACTATAACATGATATCCAACTTCCTCAGATATATTATAATTTTAAAATAAAAAATATGTTTTATATTTTTCCATCAAGCCTCTAAACCTCTAAAGTTCGTTCTTCATCATTTATTTCTTAAAACATTAATTACCCTCTCTCTGATCTGCTTAGTTCTGACTCCATAAATGACAGGGTTGAGAGCAGGTGGAATTACAACATAAAAGTTGGCCAGAAGAATATGGATGTAACGAGGAACATTATGACCAAACCTGTGGGTCATGAAGGAGAAGAAGGCTGGTGTATAAAGGGACAATATAACGCAGACATGGGAGCCACAGGTGCTGAGTGCCTTCAGTCGGGCATCCCTGGAAGGTAAGCGGAAGACAGCACGGAGGATCTGGACATAGGAGAGGACAATGGCTATGACGTCCAACACTAGGATAGAGATGGCACACAAGCCATAGATGATGTTGATTTTGATGCTGGCACAGGAGAGTTGAGCAATGCCCATGTGCTCACAGTAAGTGTGAGGAATAATTCGGTGTCCACAAAAGGGCAGTCGTAGGATGAGCACAACAAATGGGGTTGCAAAGACTAAGGGTCTCACAAGGATGATCAGTGCTATAACTGACACCACCTTGTTTGTCAGCACCAGTGTGTAGTGAAGGGGGTTACAGATGGCCACATAGCGATCATAGGCCATGGCCAAAAGCACAGTTGACTCCATGCCAGTGCATAGATGGATGAAGAACATCTGGATGAGACAACCCTCAAAGGAGATCTCTCTCAGGTTGAACCAGAAAATGCCAAGCATCTTGGGAACGGTGGATGTAGACAGGCCCAGGTCAATGGACGATAGAATGGCCAGGAAGTAGAACATGGGCTGATGAAGACTGGGTTCAGTCTGAATCATAAAAATAATTGTAGCATTTCCTAGTAGGGCAGTCAAATATACAACACAAAATGGAAAACCAATCCATAAATGCACGTATTCTAGACCTGGAATTCCCAGAAGGAGAAAACAATATGGATGGAATTGTGTGTCATTAAGAAGAGCCATGCTTCTGTGACCCATTTATGGTTGCATAATACAAAGAAAAGATGTCTCCTTCACTAGAGGCTTCCATTGTTCTTATCCACTGCTGTTGATTTCCTGCAAATTATACAAAAATATATTTTATCTGTTCTAATAACCAAGCCAACTGTGAAATAACTGAATAACTTTTACAAAATGTAAGTGCATGCTTTTTTAAATTTTAATTAAGCTAATACCATTTATTAAATCTATTTTAATTTACATTTACAAAATGGTAAAATAAACTTTTACCAAAAGTCAGTAAATTATCAGGCAAATGATTGAGTGATTGACAGAAATACAACATATATTGCTACTCCTCTTATGGAAATTCTTTAAAATTTAGAATATATCTTCCTGTCTTTTTTATTTCTTAATTATCAGAGGGTGTGTACACTCACCAGAAAAAGAGAGAGAGAAAAAAAAAAGGAGAAAGCACCTCCCCATGGTGATTTCCCACACTGCATTACCTTCTCTATTTTTCAATCCTCCTGGGTTTTAGGCATCTGTGGGTCATGAAGGAGAAGAAGGCTGGTGTATAAAGGGACAATATAACGCAGACATGGGAGCCACAGGTGCTGAGTGCCTTCAGTCGGGCATCCCTGGAAGGTAAGCGGAAGACAGCACGGAGGATCTGGACATAGGAGAGGACAATGGCTATGACGTCCAACACTAGGATAGAGATGGCACACAAGCCATAGATGATGTTGATTTTGATGCTGGCACAGGAGAGTTGAGCAATGCCCATGTGCTCACAGTAAGTGTGAGGAATAATTCGGTGTCCACAAAAGGGCAGTCGTAGGATGAGCACAACAAATGGGGTTGCAAAGACTAAGGGTCTCACAAGGATGATCAGTGCTATAACTGACACCACCTTGTTTGTCAGCACCAGTGTGTAGTGAAGGGGGTTACAGATGGCCACATAGCGATCATAGGCCATGGCCAAAAGCACAGTTGACTCCATGCCAGTGCATAGATGGATGAAGAACATCTGGATGAGACAACCCTCAAAGGAGATCTCTCTCAGGTTGAACCAGAAAATGCCAAGCATCTTGGGAACGGTGGATGTAGACAGGCCCAGGTCAATGGACGATAGAATGGCCAGGAAGTAGAACATGGGCTGATGAAGACTGGGTTCAGTCTGAATCATAAAAATAATTGTAGCATTTCCTAGTAGGGCAGTCAAATATACAACACAAAATGGAAAACCAATCCATAAATGCACGTATTCTAGACCTGGAATTCCCAGAAGGAGAAAACAATATGGATGGAATTGTGTGTCATTAAGAAGAGCCATGCTTCTGTGACCCATTTATGGCTGCATAATACAAAGAAAAGATGTCTCCTTCACTAGAGGCTTCCATTGTTCTTATCCACTGCTGTTGATTTCCTGCAAATTATACAAAAATATATTTTATCTGTTCTAATAACCAAGCCAACTGTGAAATAACTGAATAACTTTTACAAAATGTAAGTGCATGCTTTTTTAAATTTTAATTAAGCTAATACCATTTATTAAATCTATTTTAATTTACATTTACAAAATGGTAAAATAAACTTTTACCAAAAGTCAGTAAATTATCAGGCAAATGATTGAGTGATTGACAGAAATACAACATATATTGCTACTCCTCTTATGGAAATTCTTTAAAATTTACAATATATCTTCCTGTCTTTTTTATTTCTTAATTATCAGAGGGTGTGTACACTCACCAGAAAAAGAGAGAGAGAAAAAAAAAAGGAGAAAGCACCTCCCCATGGTGATTTCCCACACTGCATTACCTTCTCTATTTTTCAATCCTCCTGGGTTTTAGGCATGCACACCAATACACCTTATGTGTTTTTTAAATCACCAGGAGTAGAATTTGAACTATTACTTGTCATGTGGGATGAAGCTCCCTTAACCACTAGGCTATAGAGTGGCCTAGTCAAAAAAAATTAATAAAATGTAATATATATATATTTAACACATGTATTTTCTTTTTTATCCTAGGAAACAAATATTTTGCACTAAATTGTTACAGCCTATGGAGACACAATCTGCACAAAATAATTTTAAGTATTCTAAATCTATTGAGAGAGCCACTAAGTCAGCGTTTGTACCTTTTTTTTTTTTTTTAAATCAGAAACAACATCATTTCAATTAGGGTAGAGTGTATTAAAGCCAGGAATAAAAATTCATGATAGATATAATTGATAAAATTGAGATTACTTCACCTTTATATTTTTTTCATTGATTGTGAAAAATAGCAGAGGAGAGGGACCAGCAGATGGAATAATGGTTACTTCACTAGACGTTGCTGGACTCTCACATAGTTGAAGGTGGTTCGAGTTCTTGACCCAATAGTTTAAAACTCATGAGTGGCATGTATGTGTGTGTGTGCCCAGGATTCCAAGAGGAGAATGGAGCAGAAGGGTTTGTAGTGTTGACAATCCACTGGGGGTGGGAGGTCTCACTTTCTGCCTCTCTATCTCCGTCTCTCTGGCAAACTCACTAGCCCTATATAGCAAAAATCTCTCTTAAGAAAAATAAAATAACAGTGGAGATAAAATAAAATTGTAAGAATTTATAGCAACAGTCATGGTAGCAATCTCATGTTGATTATGGGTTGTTAAATAAAGATCTTAAATTTAACCCTTTTTGTTTTATGTTTTTTAATTTTTGTTTTTGCAATAGGAGGTACATTTTCCAGAAAGAAAGAGAGAGAGAAAGTGGAAAGAATCCCCATGGGGGTATGGCCATTTCACAGTCTTTTTACTTTCATTCTCCTCTCAGGATTTTGGGCATATATGTGCCCATAATCCCAGCTTGTATTTCAAGCAGCCAGGTCTAGGATTAGAACTGCAGAGTCGGCTATTTGTAATTCAGTCCCTTTAACCACCACCTCACCTGCTGTCCCATATGTAATCATTTCATGTACTGTTTTGCTTGTTTGTTTGTTTTTAGAGGTTTTTGCTATAGGGCACATGCATTCACCAGACAGAGAGAGACAGAGAGACAGAAAGGGAGAAATCACCCCCCTAGGGGGGATGGCCACACCGCAATTCCTTCTCCTCCATTCTCCTCTTGGGATCTTGGGCACGCACACACATGCGCCCGGCGTGAGTTTTAAGCCACCGGGTCCGCGACGTGAACCACGGTCGACTACATGGGGGTCCAGCGACATAGCCATTATGCTAACTGCTGGTCCCAATTTTATGCACTGTTTTTACTACAGAAGTGTGATAGAAGATGTTAATGCTGGCAAGAAAGATTCGAAATAAAGATAAGAGCAATAAAGATGTTCTGCTAAGAAGTCACCCTGGAAAAGCATAAAGGGTAGGCCAGAAGATAACTGAGTCCTCCATAAGATCTGAGATCTAGTGCTTTCATGGAGAAGAGCAATGGAGATGTTCTACTGAGAAGTCACCCTGGTCGAGCCCCCCATCCCTGTCTTTGTCTCTGTGTCTCTCTCTGTCTCTTTCTGTCTTTTCTCTTTTTCTTTATTTTTCTTTATCTTAATTTATAAAGTATTTTCTTGGTTCTGAAATACTCCTTTATCTGAGTAATAATCTCTTCCTCTTTCCCCTTCCCATTTAGGAAAAGAATAAAGGGCAAACCAGAAGACTGAGTCTCTATGAGAGCTGAGATCTAGTGCTTTCGGTTTTCATTTTCTTGTTTTTCAAAATTAACAAAGAAATAATTTTTTCATTTGTTTGCTTTATCTTTTTTTTCTCTTCTCTTGCTTCTCTCTTTCTCTGATTTATTACCCCTTTCTTTATACCTCATTGTTTTGCTGCTCACCCTCCATGCACTGAGTGTCTAGATAGGTCTAGGTGAATAGGAGCCAAGCATCTGAATACTATTAGGGTCCTCATATTCTTCAATTCCCACTGAATCTGCAATACAAAAGAAGACCACCTCCTCCTGTACTCTTCTGATCATTCAGATTAAACTTCTAGAAATTAGGAAGAAATGAATAATCCATCTGATGACTAGAAAACACTACAGAGGCCCAAGAAATATGAGAAACCAAGAAAATACTTTTCTCCCAAGGGAAAAGAATAACTCTTCTTCATCCAAAGATAGTACAATGAAACTCATGGAGATGTCCGTTAAAGAATGTAGAATATTCATAGTGACAAAGCTAACAGAGATGGAAGAGAAGAGAAACAGACAATGAACACCAGAAGAGAAAAGCCAATGAGTTCCAGGAGGTGAGGAAGTTCTTGTAAGAACTGAAAGAGGAAATACACACCATAAAAAATAATCTAATGGAACTGTTGGAGATGAAGGCTATAATATAGAAAGTCAAAATCTCCTTTGAAAGTCTTAAAAGTCGACTAAATCATACAGAAAATCGAATCTCAGATATAGAAGACAGAATTGCTGGACTAGTAAAATTCACCATGAAGACTGAAAAAATAGTCAAAAAAATGAGAATCTTATACGAGGAATACTAGATACCATTGTGTCCAAATATCCAGATAATCAGTATCCCAAAGGTGAAGAGACCAAAAAGGTATTTATAATCTATTCCATGAAATCCTAGAAGAAAACCTCCAAATCTAGAGAGGCATTCAAAGACTCAGACCCAAGAAATACAGAGAGGACCCCAAATAGGATCAACCCAAGAAGATCTTCTCCAAGACACATTATAACCAGAATGACCAAAACCACAAAGACAAAATACTAAGGTTGGCAAGAGAGAAATGTCAAGTTACCTACAAAGGATATCTCATCAGGTTTACAATGGACCTCTCATCAGAAACAATGTGAGCAAGGAAAGAATGGGAAAATATATTCAAAGTGTGAGTGAAAAACAATTTCAACCAAGAATACTGTATCTGGCAAGATTATCCTTTATATGGAAAAAGAAGACAAAAACATTCTCAGATTAACAAAACCTGAAAGAATTTACCAGCATCCGACCAGCTCTCCAAGAAGTTCTGAAGGGAGTGCTATCCCAGGAAAACTAAAGTCAGACACACAGAAATAAGAGTTCTAAAACAATTAAGAA